ATGAAGGCAGTGGGGCACAAAGTATGTGATATGTTAGAAGAATTGAATAGGACCCAGTACCCTTGTGTGAATAGCACACAAGCTATGGTGGGCTCAGTGGCTCATCTAAGCTGTGTTGCAGTCTTGGACCAGAACATACTGCTCTGCTGCTTCCTGCCATCCCTCTTCTCCCTACTGCCCTGTTTCTCCCTGTTGCCTTGCTTCTCCCTGTTGCCTTGCTTCTCCCTACTACCTCTCATCTCCCTACCACCCCCTTTCTCCCTGCTGGCCTGCTTCTCTGGGTTCCAGAGAGGATCCTGTTTCTAACTATAAGGCCAATCATCCTGACACAGAACTTCACTATATCTACCTTGGAGTGAGCCTTCGCTTCACAGAGAGGACATCTCCAGGCTGCAGATATGTAGTTTAATGTTCTAACTCTGTTATTTTCGAGGTGCATATATTTGGCAGCATTTAAGCTGAGACAGAGGCCAGAGACCACCTGTCTTTTCAGCTCTCCTGCTTCCTTGAGCTATTTCCTGTATCCTTGCCTAATGAGTTCCTGCCTCCCATTAATAGATAAATCCTGTGAGGGCTGTTGAATACCCAGCTGTCGGGAGAGAGAGTAAGTACTCATAAGGCAGGCTGTAGATAGCATCTCAGGAAAAGGAGGAAGAAATGTGGGAATGTCCAAACAAGTTGATTCCTCACTGCACCAAAATGCCACATGCAGAATAGTTGTGTATCTGCCTCCCTACAAAATTGTCAAAGAAATACTCAAATAATAATTTGATTCTTTCAATGATTCAACAGTTATTCACATTCAAGTACATGAGAGACCTTTTGCCTGGTGCCTCATCTTGGGGATATATATAAGCTTTATTTCAATTGATTGCAATGTGTGACTGAAGATTCTTTTACTTGGCTTATAATGCCCTCTTTTTCACTCTTGGTCCCTTCCTGACTCTACACTATGATCATTCTCCATAAACATTTTCACTTGGCTGTATTTTATTCCTATTGTTGGTCACATGCATTGGGGAGATTTGATGGGGAAGCAGGGATTGTACCTCCTTCTAAAGACTACCCCAATGAGTAGTATTCACCTATTACTTTTCTAACAGCAACCCACTTATGTAGATTGCTCAGCTTTGGGACTTCTCATGGGGAAAATGTGAAGCATTGGAGCTGTGCATGTAGCTTCCGTAACTCTTTCAAACCTGTGGGTATCATTTTTAATGAGGATTAATGTTCATCTAAAAAGCATGGTTTGGCCAGGCATGGTAGCTTATGCCTGTAGTCCTTGCACTCTGGGAGGTCAATGTGGGTAGATCACCTGAGCTCAGGAGTTCAAAACTAGTCCGAGGAAAAGTGAGACCCTGTGTCTAAATATAGTCAGGCATGCCTCAGCAACTGTGGCACAGTGGTTATGGCACCAGCCATACACCCCAAGAGTGGCAGGTTCGAACCGGGCCCAGGCCAGCTAAACAATGACAACTGCAATAAAAAATAGCCGGGTACTGTGGCGGGTGCCTGTAGTCCCAGCTACTCAGGAGGCCGAGGCAAGAATTCTTAAAGCCCAAGAGTTGGAGGTTGCTGTGAGCTGTGAAGCTACGACACTCTACCTAGGGCAACATAGTAAGACTCAGTCTAAATAAATAAATAAATAAATAAAGCCAGACATTGTGGAAGTTCCCTGTAGTCCTAGCTACTAGGGAGGCTGAGGCAGGAGGATCACTTGAGCCCAAGACTTTGAGATTGGTGTGAGCTATGACATCACCACACTCTATCCAGGGTGACAAAGTGAGGTTCTGTCTCAAAAACTAAACTAAAATATAAAAAGCATGGTTTTATTTTAACAGAAGTACCCTCGGGATAAAAGAATTATGGTGCAAATGAGAGGTTGTTGAGGTTCTACCTTAAACATTACAATTGAACTGTGAGGCAAAGGCAGTGACTTCCTTCCTGGTTAATTGTCATGAGTTAGAAGCTTGAGGAACACAGAGCACATGGGTTGTCCAGTACCTGAGAGGAACAGGTTCAGACGAGTGTGTGCACATCCTTTCTCATTTAGCGAGTCCCACATGCACTAGTTCCTGAAACTATGCCTTATTTTGAGAAACCTAGAGTGCTACTAATGCAAAAAGGAAATGGTCATTTGGGGCCTTTTGGATGTCCACTTGTGTACTGATACACTGATGTTTCTTGAGCACCTGGTGTTTATGTGGGGAGCTTTGTGGTAGGAGTTGAAGATAGTGGTGATGAAGACCAAGTACCTGAGATCAAAAGGTGACAGTCCTCACAGTTATAGAAAAGAGCTGTGTCAGGGCTGACAACATGGTGTCATGACAGCACAGAGGAGGAGGCCCCATCCAGTCTCAGGAAGTCAGGAAATAGGAGGAGTAGAGGTTGGCAAATAAAGAATATAGTATGAGGAAACAGGGTTGTTTTAAGATGCATACCTGGGTACAAAGGCCCACAGTCAAGAGAATATGCCCAGCTTGTGAAATTAAAGGTGTTCATTCTGATTACAAGAGTCTTGGGTGGTGCATATGGCTTAGTGAGTAGAGCATTGGCCCCGTATACTGAGGGTGTTGGGTTCGAACCTGACTCTGGCCAAACTGCAACAAAAAATAGCTGGGCATTGTGGTGGCTACCTGGGATGCTGAGGCAAGAGAATTGCCTAAGCCCAGGAGTTAGAGGTTGCTGTGAGCTGTGACACCACGACACTGTACCAAGGGTGACAAAATAAGACTCTGTCTCAAAAAAAAAAAAAAAAAAAAAGAGTCTTAAGCACCAGATAGCTGAAAAGAATTATTAAAATATTGAGTTGACTCAGAAGGAAAAGATCCCCTTTAATTCAGTGTCTTCATAAATATGGAGATGGAATTTAGAGATTATTCCAACTGACTTCACTAGTGACTTTATACTGGAAAACAATTAGGAACTAGAATTTCAAAGCCTCATTGAGAGGCCCTAATCTTTGGGTGCATGTTATATACTTTGTGTTTCCTGCTGTGGTTGGTAGACTTCCTGTTGCGGTGACTTAATGCTATTTCCAGTAGTATTAAGAACTTTAATCCTATTGTAGGAACTTTCTCAGGTCATGTATTTTTTATTTCATTTTTATAATCATTTTAGTAGTTGCATTTATTTGGTAGTAAATTCATATAATACATAAAAGGCACAGACAAAGAAAAAATTTAAAATTGATTATCCTCTCCTGTCTCACCTCAACCATGCAGTCCATTCCTATTGTGACCATGGGTACTACTTTATTTTGTATATTAGCTGATATAGATAATAATATATTAACATATTCAGTATTTTCTAGATCCAACATAACAAATATACACACTTTCTGTATCATTTTTTCACTTAGGATAAATCTTGGAGATTTCCTCACACTAGTACTAATAGAGCTTCCCTTTTGTTTTAGTGACAGTAGAATATTCCTTCGTGCATATGTCCCTTGATTTACATTATCCATACCTGACAGAGAGACTTTAAAGATGTTTTGGTCTCTTAGCATTGCAACAATTCTGACACAACTAAATTATTACCTAAGCCATTTTCAGTTTGCATAAATAAATCTATAACTTATACTCCTAATTGTGGACTAACCAGAACAAAGACACTTGCATTTAGAATTTATATATGATTGTACAAATTCATACTACCAATAGCCAGTATAAGAGATTATCAGTTTTCCCAACCCTTGCCAGCTCAGTGTCCTGTCAAAACTGCTCTTCATAGTCTAGCTAGGTGAAAGAGGTACCTCAGCATTCTACTTTGCTTGTTGTCTGGGGTCATCGTGTGTGAACCTTGACCTGGTCTAAAAGCCAACTGGGAAACAACACTGAGGATATGCCAGTTTAAAACATAAAGTCTGAGAACACCTAGGGAAGGCTCACATTACCTAAGGCCAAGCAGTAAGACTAAGAAATGCAACCTCTCTCTGGCCTCTTTAGACAGCTTTTATTGATTTTTTTTGAGACAGAGTCTCTAGCTGTTGCCCTGGGTAGAGTGCCATGGCCTCATCATAGCTCACAGCAACCTCCAACTCTTGGGCTCAAGCCATCCGCTTGCCTCAGTCTTTCCATTTTTAGTAGAGACAGGGTCTTGCTCTTGCTTGGGCTGGTCTCAAACTCCTGAGCTCAAGCAATCCACCTGCCTCCTCAGAGCTCTGGGCTTACAGGTGTGAGCCACTATGCTGGGCTAGCTTTTATTGATTTCTAACAAAGGTGCATACACAAATGCAAAAATGCTGAAAGATGAGGCTGAAAGAATCCCAAGTCCCCAGGAAGATTGGGTAGAGAGAGTCTGATTTAAAGGGAGGGAGTGCTAACAGGCTACTCATGGCATATTTAGAAAGGGGGAAGGGAGAACCAGTTCTATCCCCATGGGGAAGTAAACTACATACCAGAAGTTCCATACCATATCTAACTACATATCAGAAGTTCAAAGAATTTAACCCCTCTCACCTGTTGACTTTCCCACACAGGGGTAGCCTGTTCTGATCCTGTGCCTCTGGGATCATATGTTGGCTAGGTTTCCCCTGGATACCCCAGGTTGAGGTGAGCCCACCGCTGAGAAGTCAACCTATCTGCCTCAGCCAGCACATTTCTTGTTATCAGTGAAATATAAATAAGTTTATTCTCTCATATTTTTGCCCATTAAAAATATGGTTGTTGCTCTCTTGCTATCTTAAAAAGGCTCATTATGGCTTAAAGAAGTGACTTTTTTGCAAATGATCTCATCTTACCATTTGTCATGTCGTTTTGCTTTACTTAAATCTTTTCTGAGGGTAATTTCATTATCTTCTAACTTGATTCTCATTTCTTTAGCTTGACCCAATCAAAATTAGATTTGATTTTTAGATAGCAGATGCTCATCTTATTGAATAATCATGTTTTTATGTTTAAACTTTTCTTAAATGAAACTATTATGATATATACACTTCAAAATTAAGCCTCAGGATTATGCTAGTAAGACAAAAGAAATCTTTTATAATGTACCTATTAGGAATTCTTAGCCTCTTTGCTACGTGAGCTGATTAATTTCATCCCTAAACCTAAGAGTTTAGCATTCCCAGGAAGTACAGTTAACACATCGCCAGCCACATCCAGCATGTCTTGGAACATTACGGGTCCTTCCTTTTTAGTTCTGTTAATATCTTCTTTTAGTTGATTTATCTCTTCATTTAATTTCTCATATTTCATTTCAAACACTTGGGTAAGTAGTTCTTCTTGGACCTATAAAAAGAAGAGAGTCCACTTCTGAAAACTTCCATCTATCAAGATTTCACAATTGAGCACCTGTGTTTGTTTTTCTACCAACTTATAGCACTCTTGAATGAGCTTCTCCAATATTTCCACACTTCAGGAACTGAATAGTGGGAGTATCTGTGGTTTACGCCTTTTTGTGACTTCTTCAGTACCATCCTACTGGGGCTGGAGGGAAGTTGAGGCTGGGTCAGGCCTGAGAACTATCCTGGCAATGTAATTCAACCCAAAGAATGCCCTTTAGGAGAGGATGTAGGTTTAATTCTAATTAATTCTCAGCTACATTGAGGTAACATGACCATACCAATCTATAAAATAAGAAAAACTCCTAACCCTCTGCAGAATACTGCTTATCACCTCCAGGATGGGACAAAGTATGCACTTTACCATAGTTGTATAGGATGGGTCAGGCAGATATGGAAACAAAGACAGCAAGTCTTACAGCTTTGGGGCTCCTACATTAGTCCTACCAGGACTAATCTATTAATTTCAAGACTGGATGGACTATTTTAGGTCTTTTCCATGCTTGTACCGAGGATGCTAAGGATTAGTAGACTAAGGACCTATTCCGTAGAAGTAAATTGAGACCATCCTCTAATTATACAAATGGCCGCCCAGCATCCTGTGGGATGTTGTTTCTTACTTGAACACTAGCTCTTCACTTCTAATACTACCCAAGATGCTTGTGTCTTGTAGATTCAAGGGCTTCTCTAGCATCCAAGTGGATTTGAGGTTTTAGAGAATCACATACCTTTTAGATTTTCCTCTGGGATCATGAGTGCTTAAAATTTCAGTCCTTCCCGTCCTCAGGAATCAGGGCACTGTCCTTACATCATTGTTATTCAGGCATTGCCAGGGCACTGTCCACACTTACCTTCAACTTGTGCTCCAGCATCCTTTCTTTCTCTGCTAGCAGGTTTTCTCTTTCCATCTGCATCTTCTGCTTCAGCTGGGCCATGTTTTCCTGGAAGCTTCTCTCTTGAGCCTTCATCTTTTTCTGTTGCTCCTTCTGTTTCTGTCTTTGCAGCTCCTGTTCCTTCTCAGCTGCCTCCTTCAAGGCTCGCTCAGCTGTTCCACAAACGTTTTATAAGGGGAAGACAATAATAGTTAGGCCCGGTTTCTACCTTCCTGAGATCAGACGTTAAATTGACTTTGAGAAAGGCAGGAAGGTGGAGGATCAAGAATCTGAATTCTCCTACTAGCCATGTCAGGAAGACTGTGTTTCAGAATGGGATGAAAAGGCACTGACTGGCTGGATGTCCAACCCCAACTCCTCTTTTTGTCAGATTAGGCAGAGGATGGTACCTTCATGAGAGGAAGCTCCTTGTATCAGGAAAATCTTTCTGTCTGGTAGACCAGAGGGCATTATAAGAACCTACCCACCCTCTTAGAGCTGAGCCCTGCCCCCGTACCAGCTAAGGCCTTCTCTCCAGCAGTGAGGGCTTTGTCAGACTCCAGGATGGTATTCTCTGTAGCTGTCTGTGACTTCAGGAAGCTCAGGAGGACCTCTTCTGCCTGAGGAACCAAAAAGAAGCAAAGCAAGCAAGGTTGCAAAGATTCTGATGGGGAATTGATTCATTCCATAAAACTACAACTGTGACCCTGTAAATTCCGCATCCTACTCTGGACCGAAAAGTGATTTCTTCCATTGTGTGGCTGCAACAAAAAGTCCTCACTTGTTGATGAGACGTGAGAACCCTCCACAGAAGCCCCTTCCCCATCCCTCCTCTCCCAAGGATGCTGTCATCTCCCACCCCAGGGTGCAGACAACCAGATTTACTGCACTGCTACACTGTGTGTATTAGCTCACACTGAGAAAATATATGATGAGTGTTAGAACACCTCACCAAGTGTCTATTTATTTGCTCACTTCAAGTAAAATCATAAACTTTTAGAAAACAAAAGCTTTTTACTTAGTAATATATCTTCTCTTTTCAGCACAAAAACGATGACATTGAAATCTGGAAGAAAAATTTTCTTTCACTGGGATTCCTTTTTCTAAATCCTTTGTTTGTGAAGAAATGATTGTGGTTTACCTAATACTAGACAACTAACTGTGGATGTAAAAACTAAAAATGTTGAGGTATTGCCAGGTTCTGCTTTGTCTCCCACGAAGATGCTTTGATCTTAGATTTTCTAAAGGAACAATGAAGACCCTCTGACCATCCTCTGCTGTCCATCCCGTGTCCCCTAATTTCTCACCTTAACTCCTTTCCTGGGCACTAGCTCATAGTCCTGTTTAATCTTTTTCTTTGCTTCTAAGTAGAGCCTGTGCCCTCCGGGAACAGAGAAAGTTCCTCTCGAAATGCTTTCCATCAGGGGCTCTGAAAGACGTGCAAGCTCAGCCTGGCAATATTTGACAGATGCCTCTTCATTCTGCAGAAGGAATTCTTCCTTCTTTTTCTCTATGGCTGCCTGCCAAGGAAATGTAGGGAAATGGAATTGAGAGAAATGGTTAGAAGGGAAGTTGTAGTTTTATGGAACTATTACTTCCTCATCAAAAGACTAGATCTTTGCAACCTAATAGTCTTTGCTTGCTTTAGAAAATGATCCTCTTGGCTCGGCGCC